CCAGACAGTCCATGGTTTGGCCCAAGTGGCAGGGCTGACTGCGTCATTGCCTGGACCTGCTGCAGAGCACCCTGTCTGCTCTGGGCCCCACTCAACACTGGTAGAACCTTCCATGCCAACCTCACAGTTGGCCATCACTTTTTCCAGGTCACTAAGAGCCACGCTTGCAGTGAGTTTGCCCCATCCCTTGAGTTCCTTAAAACCAACAGCCAAACTCACTGTGGTTCCACGTGTTACTGAGTATAACTGCTCCGTAGGGTTTTCTTAGCTGTAGTCTTTACAGAAGCAGATCACCAGGACTGCCTTCTGCGGAACCACTGGGTGGGTTCAAACCATCAGCCTTTAGGTTAGTAGTTGAGCGCAAAGCATCTGCACCACCTAAGGATCTCATCAGAGTGTTACATCCTGTGTCCCCCAGTCAATGAAGTTGTGCCTCTGCAGCCTCCCATTCCCGCCCTGTTGATTAGGCACCACTGGTATTTCAAATGCCATTACAGTCACCCATGGTGAGCAGGTTTCAGTGGTGCTTCCAGACTAGGAGAGACTAGGAAGAAAGGCCTGGCTATCTCCTACCAAAAGTCAGCCAATGAAAATCCTATGGATCGTAACAGAATATTGTCTGACACAGTGCTGGCAGATTAGCCCCCAAGGTTGGAAGGCACACAAAATACACAGTGGCCACACCAATGGATTCGAGCTTACCAGCAACCGTGAAGATGGTGCAGGACCAGGCAACATTTTGTCTTGTTGTATACGGGGTCACCGAGAGTCAGAGCCGACTAGACAGCAGCTAATGATAATATAATACAGTGGCCTGGGGGCTGGGAGAGGAGGTGGGGCAGTCCCTGAGGGGGACTAGAAGGGGTGAGGCTTCTGCAGCCTCTTTCACCACAGTAGAGGCAGCTTCTACTAGGGAAGGGAAGGGAAGGGCTCCTCCACACCTCCAGAGGGTCCAGAGGGGTGCAGAGTCAACATCCTCAGGAGCATCCATCCCAATGTGCCTGTCCATGTTCAGGATCCCACACTCCACACTAGGGCCCTGAACTTCACACGAAGGCCTCGGCTGAGTGGTCAGACATCTCTGGAGCTCTGTGGTTCCATAAGCTGGTCTCCAGCCTACTGCTTAGCTGTGTCTGCCCGTCCATGGCAGGACACAGGTGCCTCCGTGTGAGCTGCCACTAGGCCCCCTGGCTCTCACTGTTAGCCATGAACTGCTTATTAACAGTCCGCACTCTCTCATTATCCCTCTGCAGAGCATCAACACAACTTTGCAGTAACCAACCATTATGGGTTGAATTGTGTCCTCCCCCAAAAGATATGTTGACATCCTAATCCCGGTGCCTGTGAATGTGACCTTGTTTGGAAATAGGGTCTTTGAAGATGTTATCAGATGGGTTAACATGAGGTCATACTGGAGTAGTGGGTCCTGATCCTGTGTGAGTGTTGTCCTTATAAAAGAGAAGAGACACAAAAGGAAAACGCCATGTGACCACAGAGGCAAAATTGAAGTGATGCATCTACAGGTCAAGAAACGCCAAGAATTGCCAGCCCTCCCCAGAAGCTAGGAGAGAGGCCTGAACAGATTCTCCCTCAGAGCCCTCAGCAGGAAACAACACAGCTGACACCATGACGTCGGGCTCCCAGCCTCAGAATGGCAAGACAATGAACTTCCGTTCTTAGAGGCCGGCCTGTTAGTGGTACATTTTTCCAGCAGCCCTGGGAGCCGAATGCACCAGCCACTTCTGCTGTCTTACAGGCACTGTTCCCACCCTCTTCAAACATCTGCACCACTGCACTACCACAGCCTTCCCTGCCACTGGGACATTTCCCCGGGTCACCACTGGTGGAACCTTCAGCAATTATGCTGCCTCCTCACGGCAGGGACTATCTGTGCCCCGACCACCACCCAGGGCAGGCCAGCCTCCTCATCACCAGCTGGGCAGTGGTGAGTCTGAACCAACCCCCATAGCATGGCGCACCTGGGTGCCACTTGCATTAGTCTGGGTTCTCCTAAAAGCATAGGCCATGGTGGGATTAAACAGGAAGGATTTGATTCGGGGAGATGTCTGTGAGAGAAAATGGGGAGGGAGCAGGCAAAACTGGAGAGCCATCGACACAGGTCTGACCCCGAGGGAAAGAGAGGGAAGGTGGCTGGGCAGAAGCATCCCAGCCTGCATGCAGTCTGAGGGGGGATCTGGCTAGACTGTTGGGGAGCCCTTGGCTCCAAGGCCATCAGAGGAGTCTGGTGTCTCTCTCGTGCTCCCTCGATGCCTGGGAGCGGCCAGGAGGAGTGACTTGGTGCAAACTGGGCGACGGATTTCAGAGTGCAGCAGCTGGAGGTCTGCGAGGGCTCCCTCCCATGACCATCCACCCTCCAGGCAAGCAGGTTTCTCCTCTCTTTACCATGGTCCCAACACCTCACACAGCATCCAGCACATAGCATAGAAGATGCACAAAAGGTCACCACTGAATGGCGGGCAGGACAGCGAAGCTTCATGCGTGCCCAGCAGTGGCACCCTCTGGATGCAGGTCCTGCTGCCTGATCCCTGTCTTTGGAAGGTCAGTATCCTTGGTGCTCACCCTCTCCTGGCCACACTCTGTCGGAGCTGGCTCAGTGTCCAATCACACAAACCAGATACTTCCCATTTCTCCTGCCCTCCACACGAAACGGTTGCTGCGATTGGACTGAGCGTGTCCCTCTGACAGCTTCAGGGAAATGGAACTGGACCCACATTTGCTCTCAGGCCGTTTCTCCTCACTGATTCTTGTTTCTAAGCGGAAAGAAACTTGGGACACCCCTAGGGGGCGCTCTGGGCCCAGGCTGGGACCCTGAGACTGGAGATTGATGATTTCAGAGCTGGGGGCACAGCCTGAGAGCTGCACTGGAGGCCCTGTGGGCTTCAGGCTGTCCTGGGCTCAACCCTGACAATCACTGTAGGGCCTCATGGAAAACTCCACCGCTCTCAGAGTCCCTGTTTCCGTGTGTCACGTGGAAACTCACAGGCTGCCAGCATTGAACCTGATGGTGTTTCTAATAAGAATGACACAGCCTCCTAGTCTCTGCAAAAACGGTAGACTCATGGTTGCTGTTAGTTGCTGTTGAGTCCATTCTGACTCATGGTGACCCCATGTGCACAGAGTGGAACGGCTCCATAGGGTTTTCAAGGCTGTGAACTTTCGAAAGCAGATCACCAGGCCTATCTTCCAAGGCACCTCTAAGTATGGGCTCTTTAAATCCAAGATCAACTAGATTTTCTCTTAACCAGTTGCTGTCGAGTCAACTCCAACTCATGACAAGCCCATGTGTATCAGAGTAGAACTGTGCACCATAGGGTTTTCAATGGCTGATTTTTCGGAAGCGGATCGCCAAGGCTTTCTTCTGAGGCGCCTCTGGGTGTACTTGAACCTCCAACCTTTCGATTAGCAGCCAAGTACGTTAACTATTTGCACCACCCAGGGACTCCTTTACAATCTTAGGAGCATGGAATTCTAGACTCACTGGGCCTTAAAATCTCTAAGGTCAGAAGGAAATGTTTTGCAGAGTCCCCAGGTGGGCCGGGCTCTAAGCTGGACGCCTTACGGGTCTGCTCATTTTATCTGCATGGCAGGCTTGTGGGAAGAAAGTGCCCCATTCACAGATGAAGTGGTGTCGCTTGCCTGAGGTCGCACAGGGTAAGCATGGACGGGAGGACCAAGCAGGACAGCTGCCCCGTGTCCTGTGGCATTCTTAACCCTCAACCCTGCCCTCCTCTTGAATGGAGTCCCATTTCTTACTGCCTAATACAGTGACCTTGGACAACAGGAGTGTTAGTTCTGGGTTCCTCTGCCAGGAAACAGAGGTGCAGCTGGGCCCTGAGGAGGAAGTCCCCGTTTCTGCTGCTCGTCCTCAGCACGGGGCTGGGTCAGGGAGGAGGAGACAGGGAGGAGCCAGGAGGCAGAGGCTGCAGCCATCTCCCCATCCAGGGTAGGCTAACGGGGAAACAGGCTTCATTCGGCTCACACCTGATTTTCTAAAGGTTTTCATTAATTCCCATCTTAAAATCAAGGAGTTTTAAACTCAAGTGTAGTTTGTAAAGTTGTCTTGAAAGATCAGAATGCCTGGCCACCTGAGCCCACGTCCACAGAAGGCACCGTCACGGGAGCCACACGGTTGCCCCTTCACAGGGCGGTGCTCCACTCTCTGGTTGCCCCAGTCCAACAGGCCCCTTCCCGCCTTCAGTTCTGACGGCTGCTCACAGTAAGGAGCTCATTTTATATCACGCCAGAGCTGGTGTGTACGCCAAGTATGTGTGCTCCACATGTGCACGCGCATGCACACAGACACATCCATTGTTCTGTGGACCAATTCTTACCTTTCCTAAATGTGCAGCACCGTGACACTGTCTGTCCATTACACTCTTTAAGCACTGGCTGCGACCCACTACACTCATCTCAAGACCCACAGGGGTTTTGGCATGCCATCTGGAACCCACCAGCTTGGAGAAACAGCCAGGGACAGGGCAAGAACACGTGCGTGGGGTCCTCATATTGGGGTCCGCAGGCCCATTCTGACTTGATATGCACCTTGGGCATGTCCCCTCCCCCTCAGGGCCTCAGTTTCCCCAGTGCCAGTAGTCCCCTTTGCCCCAGCCTAGAAGCCCCAGAACCCTGCACTGGAGAAGGGAAGCTGAGTCCTCACCTCCTCCAGGCCGCCCCAGTCCACTGTCTGACCTACAGGGCCAGGATGGAGTCCTGGAGAGCATCTGAGGTGACAGACAAGGCGGGGGGCACACTGGGAGAGGAGGAGGGAGGAGGAGAAGTAGGAAGAGAAGAAAGTATCACAAAGTGAGCATCTGTCTGCACTTCTGTTCTCCCATCCTCGAGGTGAGCTCCTTTTTTTAGGCTAATCGTGCAAGACGTGAAGAAACGTCCTGATCCGCACTCTGACATGAGGGCTAGGCTAGGGACCATGTGACATTCAGCCATCGTTGTCAAACTCAAACATGTCAAGGTAAGGGACCATGAGGTTTTTACTTTGTTTTTTTTTTACAATGCACATGTGCTACATTTATAGTTAAAACAAAAAACAGAAAAAAAAAATGACAATGATTTGTTTAAAAAGGTAAAGAACTAATCACAGTGGAAGATGAAACGAAATGTCCACTTTGGGACAGGTCATCCAGTTGAGTCTGAAAGCCCCAGCGTGGTAGTTTGTTTCCTTTCTGCAGTAGTCACCCAGCCTGGGTTTTCAACTCCACCTGCAGGGCCTGGGCAGTGACCTCGAAGCCATCGTCAAAGCTCCACTCAGCACACAACTAAACACACGACCCACTGCCAACTCCCTCCGTGTGGGGCATGCGAGAGGCCCAGGAACCCAAGAGGAATCAAGTCAGCAAAATTAAGTTAATTTACAAAGTTATAGTAAAAACCACCACAATAATAACCCAACCCCACCTGTGTGGTTTAGAAACAGAAAAGAGAGCTTGCCCAGTGCAGTGAGGGCAGCAGCCCAGGGCACACAGCATGGGGCTACTACAGGGGCCCGAGGCCTCGGTGGCCTTCAGGGTGGCCAGCCTCACAGGGCAAAGGTGGTGAAGAAGATGTGTATCTTGGCCAGGAAGGTGGTGACCGAGCCCTGTCGCCACAGCTTCATCTCCACGTCCAGGGCGAAGTCTCGGGGCTCGCGCACGGAGCGCTGCAGGTAGACGACGCCCGTGTAGGCGTTGAGCCGGCGTGTGCCGAAGTAGCCCTCCTCATTGCCCTTGGTAATGGTCAGGGAGATGGTGTCCCCCGTGAAGGCAGGTGCCGGGCCGATGCGGAAGATGTGCGCAGGCACCAGGAGGCCCGTCTGGAAGTTGAGCTGGTAGTGCGTGATGCGCGCTGGCGAGTTCTGGCACTCCATCAGGTCGTGGCACGTGGTCCGCTCACACTTCCTGTGGGGACGGCAAGACACGCGGGGCGTGGTCAGCAGGGCCCCAAGAGGCACGTCTGCTCCCAGGCCCTCCCACCCCTGACCATCCACCCCTACCCACTCTGCCCATCCCCGTGCATGTTATCGGGCCTTGGTGCAGGCTCACAGCCTGGGGGCCCAGGCTCAGGTGCCAGCTCTACCACTTACTACAGGACCAGTTGCCATGGAGTTGACTTTGACTAATGGCAACCCCAAGTGTGTCAGAGTAGAACTGTGCTTCACATGGTCTTCAGTGGCTGATCTTTCAGAATTAGGTCACCAGGACTCTCTTCTCTGGGTAGATCTGAACCTCCAACCTTTTGGTTAGCAGCTGAGCGCTTAACCGTTTGCATCAACCAGGGACCCTACCACTTACTAGCCAGTGTTAAGTCACATCACCTCTCTAGGTCTCTGTTCGCTCATCTGTAAGACGGGGTTAACAACAACCTCATGGTTTCACTGGAGGATGGGGCAAGTTTATAAACACGCAGCGCTTAGCACAGTACCTGACATGGTTTGTGGGCAGCTCTTGTCCATTTACATGTGCGCACCTTCCTTCTTTCCTTTATTTCCTTCCATCCACCCATCCATTCATTCACTGACCATCATTCATTTCTACCTTTTGTCATTCCTACCTTCCTTCCTATCCACTTCCTTCATTTTTATTGTCCTTTTCTTTCAAAGTTTTTTTTATCTTGCACACTGCTCAGCTGTGTAGATTCCCTAGCTATGGTGGTTTTATTGTTTTAATTTTTGTTAAATTCCGCTTCTTCCACAATAGACTCGCCCAAGCCATTTGCTCTCCTGACTTGGGAGGAGCTGCTTTTCCGGGAGGAAGCCTCTCCGAGCATGAGGGTGGAGTGGCGCCTGCTCCTGCTAGAAGGCTGGAGGCTCGGCCATGCTGGATGACGATGAGGAGAGAACATCTGTCAACCTCCAGGGTGGCCGAGGCCTCAGATCTCTAAGCATTCACAGCCACAATCCAGTCTCTTCCTGGCCCTGTGAGCCACTGTTATCTCCATTATTAAATCACTGACTAAAAAACTTCCTGCTTCCAAAAAAAGATACTGCTCAGGCACTCGGGGGCTCAGAAGCTCTGTAGAATCACTCCGAACGGAGTTCCCTAACTGGCATGCCACAAGTAACAACCTCAACAACAGCACTTATTTCAGTCAGGCACTGTGCTAAGATGTGACATGAATACTCACAACCCCCCCTGGAGTGTGCTATTATCATCCTCATGTGACAGATGGGGCACATGAGGCCCAGAGAGCTGAGGTCACTTGCCCAGGCTCCCAGACATATTCACCTGAGTGTCCCAAGATATGTGCATGTAGACACTCACCGGGGCCACAGGGGCGCCCGGTAGATAATGACGACACAGCTACACTAGGAAAGACCATGCAGTCACTCAAACCGGGAGGTGGCCTGCACGTGCTGATGTACAAGACGGCATGAAAGGGACAGGCCAGCTGCAGACAAACAAGCCCAGCTGTGCACAAGCAGTGCTGTGCAGGTTTGGTTTATGCTGGGATGGAAGAGCAGATGGACAGACCTCCACCTGTTAGCAGTCACACAAATGCCACTTACTGGAGAGGTCAGGGACAAGAATTTTTCACTTTGGCTTGTATACTTTTACTGGTTGAATATTTTTATCGGCATATACAGCCGATCCTCGTTATTCATGGACTCCGTATTGGAGAATTCACCTAGTCGCTACTATTGATGTGTAACCCCAAAATCAACGCTCATGGCCCTTTCATAGTTATTCGGCGACACACACAGAGCAGCAAAATGCAAGCTGCCCAACATGCACGTTCCCAGCTGACGGCAAACAAGGCACCTCTGCTGTCTTGCCTCAGCTCTCACACTGCAAACAAGTGTCCTTTACACCGTTTATTTAGTGCCAGGTTTTTTGCATTTTTGTGCGTTTTGCTGGCGATTTCGCTGTTTAAAATGGCCCCAAGCATAGTGCTGAAGTGCTGTCTAGCGTTATTAAGAACAAAAAGACTGTGGTGTGCCTTATGGAGAAAATCCGTGTGTGTTCTATTCAGGCTTCATTCAGGCATGAGTTATAGGGCCATGGGCCACAAATTCAACGCCAGTGAACTATCTACATTAAAATAAGGTGTCTTTAAACAGAAACACACACAAAACAAGGTTATATATCTGTGAGATGAAGAAAATGTTGTGATTAGAGGCTCGCAGGAACCTAACTCTGTATTTCCCCTGGAACAATGGTTCAGTATGCACTAATTCAGTGTTTGTGGCAACTTTATAGAACGTAACTACCATAAATAAAGAGAAGCAACTGCATCACGTTGAAATTTAAATCTGGGAAATACTTTACAAAATAAAATGGGAGACAAACTGTATTATACTAAGAACAAGAGAACATTAAGAGAATACATGTTTAGAAAAGAAAGGTTGAGAAATACAGCAAAACATCAAGAGTGTCAATCAGGCAGGCCTGCAAGAAGCTCTGTGCCTGCCTCCAGGTGTTCCCGCCCTGTGCAGGCCCCTCCCAGTGGCCTCTCAGTGCTGGACTGTGTGGCTAGTGGCAGAAGTGAAGGGATGTCACTTCCAAGGTCAAGTTTGGTCCTTGCCTGAGCTCTGTCTGATCACTCTCTCTCTCGGGGAAGCCATGTGTGAGCAGCATCTATGGGGCAGGGAACTGAGGCCTCCTGCCCACAGCCACAGGAGGGAGCAGTGACCACGTGCAGCCTGCCAACAGCCAGACCGTGGCTTCATGAGAGACCCTGAGCCAGAACCACCCAGCAAAGCCATTCCTGGATTCCTAGCCCTCAGGAACCATGAGACAGTAAATGTTTGTCATTTTAAACTGCTAATTACTGGGAAATTTTGTTACACAGCAATAGATAGCAAATAAGTAATCTGTGTATGTGTGTGTGCACACGTGTTAGAGAGAAAGTGAGTGAGAGAGAGGGGAAGGAGATGAGATTTCCTGGGAACCTTTTCCTCTGCGTACGCTATACTCTGAGCTTCCTGCAAAGCACACTTATCTGCTTTTGGTAAATGAGGACCAAGGCCCAGGCATTTAGGGGCTGTGAACAGTGGGAGATGGTCCAGGCAGGGCCTCCCCTGCACAGCACAGCATTTGTGTGGGGCCAGGCCAGGCCAGGAGGGGCACTCACGTTTCAGAAACACGGACGTAGTTTGGCGGGCACTCAAAGCGCAAGCAGCGGAAGCTGCCCTGGATGTTGTGGCAGGTCTCAGTTTCAGAGCAGTTGTGGGTGCCGAGCGCACACTCATCCAGATCTGGAGGGAGGAGAGGAGGGGCACAGTGAGGGATCCCCCCGGCTGTGGCACCCCAGCCTGAACCACCCCCACCCCTACTGGAATCCTGGGTCCCAGAGCAGCTGGTCCTGACTTGGGGACCTACAGGCTCATGAGCTACCCTGCACCACACATGCCCGTCTGGTCCCTTTTGCATCCAGCAGCCAAGGCCTTGCTTTGAAATGCAAATCATCTTATGTCACATCCTCAGATGGCATTCCAGGCTCCCAGAGTCAAAGCTAAGTCCCTGCCATAGATGCCACACCAACGGATGCAGGGCCTCTGAGCCCTTCCCCTCCCCTGGACTCCTGCAGGCTGCCCCAACACCTGGACCTCATGCCCACCTCAGGGCCTTTGCACATGCTGTGCCCTTTGCTGGAACTTTCCCCACATCATCCCACATGGCTCCTTCTCATGTTTCAGAACTCAGCTCCCAACCACCCTACATGTCCGCTCCCCATTGCTCTCCATCCCACCCCATTTCATTATTTTCCTGCTACTTGTCACAAACTGAAGCACACCTAAGCTATTCTGTACATCTGCCCTGTTTCCACCCACCCCCTACTCATCATGACGTCCAGGAGGGAAGGGGTTTTTGTCTTTCTTGCTCCGGCAGCATCCTCACTACTAGGAGAGTGCCTGGCCCAGAGCTGGGGCTCAATCCATATTGCTGGATGAAAGCACACAACCCATCACTTGTACACAGAGTCCAAGATGCACAGGTACAAATGTCCTCATGAACTGCAGACGTGCTCATGCTTCATGTACACATCCCACAAGTGCAAACACCAACAGGCACGTACACACCCTGAAGGGCACACAAGCACACAGAGGCCCATTCAGGACACTGAGGCATAGACACACATGTGACATGCATGGGCAAGCAGCTCTGACAAAGAAGCAAGAGAAGCAAGCGTGTGCATACAGGAATGAGAGAGTATGTGTATGTGTGTGCGAGAGAGAGATCTGCAGGCCAACCTGTAAGAAAAAAGGCCAAATAAATGGATACCAAAGGACCCCTTCTGTGAGGTCAGCTGCTCAGCTCAGAGAGGGCAGCCTCAGGGGGCCCCAGGTGCTGTCCCCTGGTGGCAGGGCCTGTCAGGGGCAGGGATAGAAACCCCGGGCTGCCCTGGGGGGCTCTGGGTCTTGTCCACTTCTCCATGTGGACCATGTATGGGATGGTTTCCTCACTGAATCCTCACCCTAGCCCTGTGAGCTGAGGACCACTGGCCTCCTCTGACAGAGAAGGGAACCAAGGCTCAGAGAGGGGGCCAGCTTTGCTGAAGGCCACACAGCAGGCAGCGGGGCAGCTTGGGTGGGAAGCCAGGTCTGCCTGACACCAAAGTCTGGGATCTGATCACTATGCCAAGTTGATTCCCAACAACAACATAACAATAATAACAGCCAGCCTGCACCCAGAGTTTCCTACAGGATGTCCACAACACCCCATGGGCAGGCCCTGGGACCCCATCTCACAGCTGAGCCCGGGGCACATGCCACCGCAGGGGCAGAGTGGGCTCAACCCGCAGCCTGCTCCAGACCGGGCCTGTCTGTCCCACGCCCTGCTGCAGGAGTCAGCCCACATTGGTTCACCTCTCAAGGCCTTACTTTCCTCTTGTGCAAAATGGGTCATGATCCCAATTTCCCAGGGTGGCAACAAAGACGGATGAGGGAACACATGGAAAGAAGCCAGATGGGGCGGGGCCCAGGATGGGTGGGTCACTGTCCTGTGGCTAGTTAATTAACTGACTCCATGTCAAGGGAGGTCCCCTTCTGTTCCTCAACCTATGACCTGGCCACCCAGTCGGGTGAGCAGGAAGTTCTGACCTCAGGAGCCTGGGTGTGGGGCAGGGGTAGGAGTGGGGCAGGAATGGGGTGGCATGCCCTGAGCAGGAGCTGACGGAGTTCACGGTCAGTGGCTGTGGCTGCAGCCCGGCCTCACCAAGCTCACAGAAGCTGTTGCAGGACCCCCGTGGCTGCAGCCTCTCCAGGAGAGCTCAGGCTAGGGGATGTGCAAGGTGGGGATGAGGCTGTCTGTCCAAGGATGTCATTGCAGCCTCACCCATGGCATCAGCCTCAACTCAGGTGCCCAGAAATAGGGAACAAAGCAAAAAAACACAGAAACATAGAAACGTTACAGAACACAACCTCCAGAAGAGGTCTCCAAAGGCTTTTGAAAGACCTGAGAAAACAAGCACAGTATGTCCATAGTAATTGTAATAGTCATTGCTCAAAGTCACCCCTTATCAAGTGGAGCGCTGAGAAGGGCTTCACATACACTTACCTAAGAAAAAGGCAGGATTCAAGATTATTTCCAGTATGATTTGAATTAGCATTATATTTCCTGCATGTATGTTTGCATATATACGGCATGGGAGCAGCAGTTAAGAAATCAAACGACGTACTGATTGGCCAAGTCTGCTGCAAAAGACCTCTTTAAAGTGTTAAAAAGCAAAGATGTCACTTTGAGGACTAAGGTGCACCTGACCCAAGCCATGGTATTTTCAATCACCTCATATGCATGCGAAAGCTGGACAATGAATAAAGAAGACCAAAGAAGAACTAATGCCTTCGAATTGTGGTGCTAGAGAAGAATATCGAATGTACCATGGACTGCCAGAAGAATGAACAAATCTGTCTTGGAAGAAGTACAGTCACAATACCTCTTAGAAGCGAGGATGGCGAGACTTTGTCTCACATACTTTGGACATGTTATCAGGAGGGGCCAGTCCCTGGAGAAGGACATCATGCTCGGTAAAGTAGACGGTCAGTGAAAAAGAGGAAGACCCTCAACGAGATGGACTGACACAGTGGCTGCAACAATGGACTCAAGCATAACAATTGTGAGGATGGCACAGAATTGGGTAGTGTTTCGTTCTGTTGTTCACAGGATCGCCATGAGTCAGAACCAACTCAATGGCACCTAACAACATGTTTGCATAAAGGAATGCTGGAAGGAGATGCATCTGTATATTAGCAGGAGCTGCCTCTTGGTTCAGTCACATGGTCATGTGTTCCATGAGCACCTCCACTCTAGGTGCTGGGGCACAGGACAGACATGACCCTACCTTCATGGAATGCATGCTATAGTGGGGGGATGGCTGAATCTGCATTTCTGAATCTCTCTCTGTCCTTTCGTTTAGTATTGAATAGGGGTAGGATACTAAAGGAGACAGTAACAAGCCTATTCCTTCCCCATGGCCACCCTCCCGTTTGAGCTGTAGGACCTCACTGCCGTCTAAGTCAGAACAGGGCCAGAAAGCGCAAAGGGGGAGCTGGAGGTGCAAGGAGGACTGGAGGGTGGGGACCAGGCCTCGCCAGGTCTTCTGGCCTCAGAGAGGCAGCTCCCTCACTCCCAACCTTCACATCCACCAGCAACAGAGCAGTCTGCAAGGGGGCAGGAGAAAGGGATGCAGACAGCAAGAGGGGCAGTGAGCCCAGGCACCTGCGGGCCCTGGGCTGGAGCCAGCACTGGATCCCACTACAAAGAACCCAGGTGTGCATAGCAGGCGTGTGCCCAGGACCCCGTGCTCTCCAGTCAGGCAGAGCTCAGCACAGGCCCAGGGAAGGAGGGCCAGAGAGGAACTATCCTTCAAGAGCAAAAACCACTGAAGTGTCTGGCTGAGTGTTCCACGATCAGGGCCTCAGTGTGGAGGATGAAATCACACTCTAGAAACATAAAACCACATTGCCTGCACAGCTGAGTTTATGACAGGTAAAATCCTTACCTTTTACAGCATCCACACGTATTTTTTAAATGACAAACCAGAAGGCTTTGCAGTGAGGAGACCCAGGCCAGCCTCTCAAGCCCCTGCGGGCCCCCAGGTCAGGAGCCACATGGTGTCACACAGGGCCTTTGGGATTTTTCCCCTCACAGCAGGGACAGTAAGGAATGCTAGTACACTGGGATTAAGTGCATACACAGAGACTGGGGTCACACTCACCAGGCACAGTGCTCTCCAACCTAGTGCATGCCAGGCCATTCCGCCCCACCCTACCCTGTATTCTAGTCTACAGTACTAAGAAGACAAACAGCTGCTGAGATCTACTAGATGGACTTCAGGATCCATGCATGGGTAGCAGCCACCAGCCTGCACACACCAGTCTGACTCTGTCCTCTGCTGGGCGCTGACTCTGACCCCTGGACACCAGGACCCGCCTTCATGGACCAGAATGCCACCCAGGGCTGGGGAAGGACCCTGGCCATAGCCAGACAGCTGCAGCCTCAGGAGCTCCGGGCCCTCGGCTCCCCTAGCACAGGAAGATGTGGCCTGTGGCCACCAGGAGAGGGGCAGAGGCCTCAGCTCTGGGCGCTGTAGGGATGGTTCTCCCAGGGCTGCTGAGTGTCCCTCCTGCATCCTGCCAGGTGGCTTTGAGGCCCCTTGGGCTTGCCCTAGAGGCTTGCCAGGCCTAATTTCAGTGGCCTCGGTAAACCCCGATGGGACTGAACTTAGAATCCTGGGTGTTCCAGCTTAGAAGAAACATTAGACATCACAGAATCTGGTCCCCATCTAGGCAGGAATCCCCTCTATTGTAAATTTACCAGGCAGCAGCCCAGCCCCTACCTGCATGTCCCCAGGGATAGGAAACCCCTCCCTCTTGGGCACCCCTTCCCTCCCTGAACAGCTTCCACTAGGAGAAGGCATGTGGGGCAGGGATATGCCTCCATGACTCCTTCCCCACTCGCATGGGTCCTCCTACCCTCTGGTCCACAGACCACCTGCTGCTCCTGTCCCCGGGGAGCACCGCAGAGAGTTGGGGAGAGCGACTGGGACCCCTAAGGCTGCTTTTCCCCTGCCTCCTTTAGAACTACCTACAGTACCCTCTCCCCCTCCCAGGGCAGGGCCCAGCGCTGAGCCCAAGCCCGGAAGACTCTTAGCTGGGCTGAACAGCAGGAAGACTATCACCTTCCTCATGCCAGGCATAGACCTTAGCTAATGTGGCCACCAGTGGCCTGGCCATTCTGTGCTTATGCACTTGGTGTGAGAGCTCCAAGTACAGAGCAGGCCGTGTGAGGCTCCCCATGCGGGCGGGGGGGACACTTGCTCACCCTTGCAGGACCTCCCGTTGGCTGTTACAGCGTAGCCCCGCTCTGGACACGCACACTGGTAGCTCCCGGGCACGTTGAGGCAGCGGAAGGTGCAGAGAATGCTGGCGCCCTGCGCGCACTCGTCGATGTCTGCCAGAGAGAGGAGTGGTGTCTCAGGAGCCCTGCCCACCCACAAGGCCCAGCCGCCGACAGTCTACTTGCCCCGTCGCAGCCACAGAGCTGAGAGGCCCACTTCACAGATGAGGACAACAGCTCAGAGAGGTGGCCAAGGCAACAGAGCTGCACAGGACTCCCTCCCAGTGCTCACCCCGGGACTGTTCTGCAACTTCCGCTATCAGCTAAGGGACAACAGGTGGCAGTGAGGAGCCGGGCACTCTCACAGACCTGACTTAATCTAACCCTCCATCCCCCTGAGGTCAGGGTCATTATCCCCATTCTACAGAGGAGGAGCCTGAGGCTCAGACTGGGGAAATAATTTGCCAAAGTCATGCAGCCAAGAAACAGCGTGGCTGGAACTCAAACTCAGATCTGACACTAGCATTATGTGTGACCTGAGTCTGGAACATGTGGGAGGGGTGCCCACGGGCCCCTGGGAAAGGAGAGGTACCTCTGCAGGTATGCCCATCCTCGGCCAGCTGGTAGCCCTGGCGGCAGTAGCACTGGTAGGAGCCGTAGATGTTGGCACACTCCTGGCTGCAGCGCTGGGACTCACACTCGTTTACATCTGCAGGAGACCAGCTGTCACAGCTGGGCCTTCCCAGCCTTCCCCCACCTCAAGCCTGGCCTTACAGCCTCCCCTCGGGGTAGATGGGGAAAAGAGGCCCAGGAAGGGCAAGGCACCCGCCCAGGGCATACAGCTGAGGTAGGAACAGAGCGGGGCTTGCCGGTGGGTTCCTGGCCAGCTGCTAGGAGGAGGCAGTCACAGACTGGGCTCAGACTCCCAACATGGGAACCCTATGAGGGTCCACAGCACTTGGCACCGATGTCTCCTGGAGGTGTTGCCCAGGGCACTGACAAGGACCTCCTCGGGGTATGGGGCTCATCTGGCACTACATTGGCTCGAGAGCACGCACCAGAGTATGGAATGAATGTACAAGCATGTGAGTGTATGAGAGGGTGTGCAAGTGAGGGAAGCAGCTAATGCCTTGACTCTGAGCTCTTTGCAAGCAGGGACTTGTCTCTCTATTCATTCAGTAAAGGACTACCAGGCCCCTACGATGTGCCAGGTCTGTGCTGGGCCGGGGACATAGCTGTGAACAAGACAGCAAAAGTCTCCCCCTCATGGAGCTGACTTTCATGTTGAGGGTGTCATGGACTGAACTGTGTCCCTCAAAAATATGTATATCAATTTGGCTAGGCCATGATTCCCAGTACTGTGTGATTGATTCTCTACCATTTTGTCATCTGATGTGATTTTCCTATATGTTGTAAATCCCATCTCTATGATGTTAATGAGATGGGATTAATGGCAGTTATGTTAATGAGGCAGGACTCAATCTACAAGATTAGACTGTCTCTTAAATCTCTTTTGAGACATTAAAGAGAGAAGCGAGCAGAGAAACATGGAGACCTCATACCACCAAGAAACAAGAGCCAGGAGAATAGCGTGTCCTTTGGACCCAGGGTCCCTGTGCTGAGAAGCTCCTTGACCAGGGGAAGATTGATGACAAGGACTTTCCCTCAGGACCAACAGAGAGAGAAAGACTTCCTCTGGAGCTGGCACCCTGAATTCAGACTTCTAGCCTACTAGACTGTGAGAGAACAAACTTGTCTTTGTTAAAGCCATCCACTTGTGGTATTTCTGTATACCAGCGCTAGATAACTAAGATGGGGGAGTAGATAAACAAGTAAAATAACTAGTGTTAGAAGCTGGCATGTGCCGTGGAGAGAAATAAAGCAGAGAAGGGGCAGGGGTATGTTTGCGCAGCTGCAGTTTAAGTAGGGTGATCAGAGTGAGTCACTAAGAAGGAAGGTGCATGTGGGCGTCTAGGGGAGGGCACACCAGAGGGCAGAGCACGAGCAAAGGCCCTGAGATGGGAGTGTGCTGGTGTGCCAGCACAGCGAGGAGGCAGGCAAGGCCAGAGAGGACTGTGCGAGGGGAGGGCGAGAGGGGTGTAGTCAGGTCATGCGGGGCTTTGTGGGCCACTGCCGGACCCATGTCTCAACCCTCAGGATCTGGCAACATCTATGGTGCTCACAAAAAAATGATGAAATGAATGAATGCCTTCTCTCCTCTCCTGGTGTCTAAGCTGTTTGGGGGCCAGGGACCATACCAGATTCACCTCTAGCATCCAGCCAGCCTAAGGACTAAGGAATGAATGAATGACTCTATGAACTACACAGGGGAGACAAAGGCCTCCATCCCCACAGCCCTCAGCCCATGGCCTGGCTTGGAGGTGCTCACATGTGCTCATAACATGCATGCACAAATGAGTGAATGAACGAATGGATGAGTGAATGAATGAATGAATGCATGAATGAGTGGATGCATAAATGAAAGTGACAGATTTTTTTTCAGAGCCTAATCTCATCTGACATAACCAGGCCTTGTTACGCTCTCCTGCTCCTGGACTGGGCCTGACCCCTGGGATCTCCCGCGGGCAGGTGACTGGGTAGGGGCGGATGGCCTCTCCAGGGGTCTCAGGGACTCCTTCCACCAGGCAGCAATGAGGAAGGACCTCCAGGTTGGGGAGGGGCTGGGAAAAACAGCGCCAGGTCAATGGGGCCTTTGCTCACCCCTGCCCCTTCACTGACCAGCCTCAGGGCTTCTCCCACACCAGTCCCTGATGGACCCGGCCCAACTGCACAGGCGACATGTGGGGAAAGCCCTTCACACAGTCCCTCCATCAGCCCTGAGTCCATCCTCACAAAGATGAGAGCATGAACCTCTAATGCCAGCCCGTGAGCAGGTCCAGCTTGTGGACATGCTTGGCTTAGCCCATAGTGAGTTTTTTAAAAATTTTGTATCAGCAACATGTAAAATCCAGGAGATTTCACATAAATATCTAGGCTTCTGGAATCTCGGGAAGACTAGGGATCAGCACCCAGGCCTGCACTAGAGCGGCCCCATCTGCCCCTGGGCTCTCCTGTTGGGCCCTTTCTGGGGCTTCACCCACTTTCAGCCCCTGCCTGGACCATCACCAGCTGAGACCAGAACCAGAGCCTGCTCTACTGAAGGCTGGGCCAAGCCCTGAGGCCCGAGGTCACCTGCCATCCCTGTCTGCAAGGAGCTCCCACTGGGGCTGCTGATGACAGAGAGACCCAGCCCCTGTGGTCTGTGGCAGCCAGGACCCCGCCTGCAGGGGGGAAGCAGTCTGACCTGCTGAGCCAGGGAGGGTTTGGACAGACGAGGGATGGGAGAAATGGTACAGTGGGAGGTGCCAAGGGTCAAGGTGTGAGGGTGGCTGGCGCCAGGCCTGCAGGTGGGACCAGGCTGGGTGGGGTCAGAGGTCAGGGCCAGTCAGCAGTACCTTCGCAGTGCTTGCCGTCGGCGGCCAGCAGGAAGCCGGAGGCGCAGGAGCACCGGTAGGAGCCAGGCGTGTTCTCACAGGTGTGCTGGCACATGACACCCCGGGAAGCCCAGCACTCATTTATGTCTGCAGGTGGGCGGGCAGGCAGGTGGGCAGCGTGAGGCCTCCCTCCACCCTCAGGCACCTCCCCAGGCTATGGAGGGAGCTGGGTGGGGAGAGGGAACCAGGCAGAAAGACAGGAAGAGACCAGGACAGGGGAGGCAGAGGCAAAGAGACAGGGAGGGAGGGACAGACAGAGATGGAAAGAAGTAGAGAACAGTAGAAAGCCAGACAAACATGGGACACAAAGGCTGAGAGAGGTGGTCAAGCCCAGAGACCGGCCTGGAATGCCTGGGAAGGGACCCAGAGGGGTGGTCTTGGGCAGGTCGGCACCACTCAGCAATGGCTGGCAGCAGTCACCCAGCCCAGAGATGGCGAGGTGGAGGGGAACAGTGGGCACGGCCCCCAGCCCCACATACCAACGCAGGCCCGGCCAAAGGCATCACGCTGGAAGCCGGGTTTACAGTCGCAGCGGTAGGAGCCGGGCAGGTTGTGGCACACCTGGCTGTTGCTGCAGCGGTGCACACCTGTCTCACACTCGTTCACGTCTGCAGAAGAGTGGAGTGGGCTCCTTGAGGCCTAGGGCTCCCCCTCTGCATGGCCCCCCATGGGCACTGGGGAATCCGAGCAGGCTGGGCAGGTCACAGTGGGGTGGGGGCCGGTCTTACCCACACATTTGGTGCCATCTTCACTGGCGTGGTAGCCGCGCCCACAAAGCAGTGGGTTCCTCTGGCACGTGTAGGAACCCACCGTGTTGATGCAGCTGAAGCCCGGCTTACAAGGCTCGGACAGCGACGTGCACTCGTTGATGTCTGTGGAGGTGGGTGAGGGTGATGCCACCTCCCCACCCCAGCACCTGGGCCCAGGGCCATGTGCCAGGCAGCCAGGGCAGCCAGGCCCTGGTCAAGGCTGCTGGGCCAGACTGTCCCACCCCGTTTCCCCCTGACACAAGGGGCTCAGCTTCCCAGGACCCAAAGCACCTGTGGGCAGATTCCTACATGCGTCTCACATCTGCCCCTGATGCAGACGCTAGAGTGAGATCACAGCTAAGGTCTAGGATAATTACAACACAGTGCACCTCTGTTCTCCAGTCTCCAAAAGCTATGTGTCCTACCCAGAAATGAATCCCAACACCTCACCCCAGTGTACAGGGCTCCGCCGACCTCTGTAACCTCTTCCTCCCACCCTCCGCCACGCACTCCACCGCAGCCCCACTGGGCCCCTCACCGTCTCCAACACCCCCACACAGTCCCACCACAGGGCCTTTGCACATGCCGGTCCCCTTCCCCAGCACAGACCACCCTTCATAGCTGGCTCCGTCACTGGTCCCGGCCCAAACGTCCTGCTCAGTGAGGTCCTTTCAGACCAGGTAGGCATCTCCTCTTTAAGTGTTTATCCCTGCTTGTTTTATTGTTTATCAAAGTACCTGTGAATAACTGGTACTTTCATAAATGTGTCTGCTTATGTAGTCCTCCCGAACATCTTGTTAAACTGCAGTAGCATCCCAACATCTAGAACCCTGGCACTCAGTAGATGCCCAGGAAATGTTATTAATGACTGAATCACAGAGGAACTGTTTGGAGCAGGCAGACCTCCCCACCTTGCCTTGAGCCAGGCTGGGTGGGTGGTACCAGGGCCGACTACAGGAACTCTCAGGCCTGGTCCCAGCCTGGGGGGTTTTCTGCATCCTGGGACACCAACAGGTCACACAGTGAGTAGCGTCAGAGAGGCGCCTTGGGGAGAGCTCCAGCTCCCAGAGTTGCCAGGGCGACCCCCACCAAGTCTTGATAAAGCTTTCTGACACATTAGCAACCTCCCAGCACCTCGGTTCCTCCCTAGAGCAGGGGGCACCATCTCACAGGCGGTTATTGTGAGGAGAGCAGTGTCGTGGTCTGCAGTATACTGCCTGTCGCCCAGCCCACGCCTGCCTTCCCCCCACTGCTCCCACCCCTGATGGTTCCTACTCAAAGCCTCGCCTGTCCTGCAGGGGGTGCCGGTGCCCACCTCTGCGCAGGCCAGGGCCACGCTTTCGGGGAGGGCAGGGCCTCCTGCCTCCTGGCCAGCGGCTTTTTGGAAGAGGCTGAAGTAGGGCAGGGAGGGCATGGGATCTCAGACCCACTTGGGGACCACAGCTAGGCCAGCATGTGTCAAACTGCAAGTCTCAACCCATCAGCGGAGCATGAAATCAGCCCAGAAGTTCTCAATGCGCAAGATGTGAAAACAGAAAATTTGTGTGTATCACATGCAGTCAGGGGAAGTGTTGTCTTGTGAAATCTGTGTTCTAGTTGTGTGTGTGTATGCACCAGGTCATGATACAACATAAATTTCACACTGTTGGTTGTGATTTTAAAAAATTTGTGAAATACATTCATCAAGTTAACCCCACAGATGGGTAAATTGTGGCCCCCAAGAGAAGTAAGAGCCCCAAGAGATGCCTCATGTCTCCTCCCCATTAGCCCCTCCAGGCGCCCAGCTCAGGGCCTGGAACGGAGAGTCAGCCAAAGTCAGACAGCTCATGCCCACTGCACGGGAGGGTGCCAAAGCTGGGTGAGGTGCAGCACAGCAGGCTATGCTCCCTGAAGCCCTCAGAGCATCCCACCGCCCTCCTGAAGACCCCCACTCACCCACACAGTTGCCCTCAGGGTCCTGAAGGAAGCCTTCCATGCAGCGCTGCCGAGCCTGGCAGTAGAAGGAGCCCTTGGTGTTCTGGCACGTGAGGCCCGCCTGGCAGTTGTGCGTGCCCAGTGCACACTCGTCCACATCTGCACACAGAGGCCAGCGTTAGGGGTGGCCCTCTGCCCCTCACACCCCGGCACCCTGCTCACACCACCCAAACACATCCCCGACCTCAGGCCACCGTGGTTACCAAGTTCTTCTGCACCAGGGAAGCTGGGGAGCAACACTGCCTAACTTGGCACCTGTTTGGTAGTCACAATAATCTGAGCACACCTACTAAGCTTTCCTTCTGCAACAGGCACTGTTCTAAGCACTCCTTGATGTGTTTATTTAATCCTCACAACAACCCTATGAAGTAGGTACTATGACTGCGCCCATGTTACAAAGGGGGAAACTGAGACACAACTAGGGAGGGTTGGGTGGGATTAGAACCCAGGCAGCCTGGCTCCAGAGCCTGTGCTGTAACTGCTGCCCACACTGCCTGCGAGTAGGCAGGAAGGGGAACAAGTGCTTAAACCCGAGGTCCTTGGTCAACGATCCTCGGGAGGTGGCATTGACAGCAGTAAGGCCTGGAGCTTCTGATGATGGAGGTGCCAGACCTGGGATCAAGTCACGTCTCTCACACCTGCTGTGCAGCCCCAAGTCGTCTCTCAGAAAAGATGCTGGAATACGTAGCCTGTGCCAAGGGCCCACTGCTGCCGAGCACCTGCACTGGAATTCTCCACTCAGGCCATCAGGAGGGCTGCCCACATCTGTGCTGCACTCTACAGTTTACGAAGCACAGGCCCCGTGCTGCCCCTCATGGGTCCTGCACAGCAGAGGTCATCAAGCCTTTGACAGATGAGGAAACTGAGGCACAAAGCAGAACAGCAGCACACAGAGTATAAGAAGCCCAGCTGTGATTTCCTCAGCTTTGATGGCTCCCAGACCAACACCTGCTTGTCTCTTCCATCCGTCCATCTCTCCTTTCCTCCATCTAACCATCTAAACCCCTCTCCTGGTTCCAAGGCTTCTACCATGTCCCCACAGCAGCCCGGACTCAGTAAAGCTCTGTTCTGGGTTCCAGGCACACAGAGATGAACCAGGCAGGCGGTAGGCTGGGGTGTGTCCAAGGAGGTGGCCCGGTGTTGGGAAGACGACAGGGGTCTCAGAGGGCAAGCTGGCCCTGGATCTGTCATATGCACCCACACCGAGGGCCAGGGGCTCACCTCCCTCCCAGTTTGCCCCCATGGCCCCACTCCTGGCCCCCAGCCTGACCTCGAGGCCTCTGCTCATACCTTGCATTCTCCAGGGCTCAGAACAATTAAGCATTTCTACAAGCCTCACCTCCTCAATGGCATTCCTTGGAATTTTTTAGTTTAAAAAAATGCCTCCACCACATGTGGATTAAAACCACCCCACTCCCGTCACCGGGCCTGCCAACTCACTGTCTCCTTCAGCACCCACCCCACACTCTGCTCCACCCTGAGACTTCTTTTCTGCTTCTGACCATGCCAACAGTGTCCCTCACCCTGTCCAAGGGCCTTTGCACTTGCTGCTCCCTCTGCCTGGAACACCTTTCCTGAGATCTTCTCATTGTTCACGTTCCCTCTCCGACATCCCCTCTGCAATGGGGCCTTCTCGCCCCTGCACCTAAAACAGCACCCAGCCCACAGCCACGCTCTACCACCATGCTGTGTGCCTGGGGACAGCCTCTCTCCCTTTGGGAGGTAAGCACCATGAGGTCGGAGACAAGGATAACCACACCCCTCACTGTCTCCCTGTCACCAAGGACGCTGCCAGGACATAAAAGAAACTCAAGAAGTATTTGTTGAATTGGTTGACTAAAAATCCTCCTTCTTTGAAGGCTAGAATTTTTTAGTAAAAGGGGAGGAAGTGATTCTTCAAGGGGGTTCCACCCCAATGTACAATCAGGGAAACTCAGGCATGGCGAGGAGAATAACTGGTACCTAGATGCCCAGCAAGCAGTCCCAAAGCCAAGACCGGACCTTTGCTTCCCTCACACAGACACCTCCACCTGGGCAGGAGAGCTGTGGCAGCTCTTCAGAAGGGACAAGGCTCTTAGCAAGTTAGAGCGAAGGGAGGAGGCCAACAGCTGAGCCTCTCACCTGTGCACTCGCCGTCTGTGATGGCGTAACCCGGCTCACAGGTGAGGGCCTTGTAGCAGCGGAAGGAGCCCATTGTGTTCACGCAGTGCTCGCCCCGGCTGCACGTATGCAGAGCAGTCACACATTCGTTGATGTCTGTGGGAAAGGGGGGCTGTCAGGGACTCCACAGGCAGCCAGGATGGAGGCAGAGCCAGGCCCTGCCGTCCAGGTGCTCCCCATCCAGAGAGCTGCACGTGGCCGATGCCCGCTTATCTATTCATCCATTCATTCAACAAATATTTATTAAGCACCTGCTAAGTGCCAAGCACTGCTCCTGGCACTGGCGATACCTCATGAACAAGACAGACAGAAACCCCTGCCTTGTGGAGCTGACATTCAGTGGAGAGACACAATGAACAGATAAATACGGAAACACGTAGTATGGAAGGTGGTCATGAGTCCCACGTGAAAAAACGGGGCAGGACCAAGGAAACAAGAAGGGCCGAGGCAGGGGTGTGGGGTGGTCAGGAGGGCTCAGACAGGATGACATGGGAGCAAGGATTTGAAAGGCAGACCAAGAAGATGTTCTAGGCAGAGGGAACAGCCAGTGCAAGGGCTCTGAGGAGAGAGCCTACAGGGCACATTCAAAGGGACAGAGAGGGGTCAGGTGTGGCAGGAGAAGAGTTAGGAGAGCTGAGGACTGGCTTTGACCCTGAGGACAGTGGAGCCACGGGAGGGGCCAGCCAGGAGGGACATGGTCTGACTTATCTGTAACAGGGTTCCCAGCTGCCCTGGAGAACAGTCTCCGGGGTGAAGGTGGAGGCAGGCCTGTAAGGAGGATCAGAGCACTCCAGGCAGGAGGTCTGCGGCTCACACTGCCACCCGTAGAGGTGAGCAGACGCGGTCAGACTCTGGAAATATTGTGAATGTGGAACCAGCAGGATCCACTGGTAGATGAGGGGAAGTTGTGAGAGAGGAGTGCAGAGGTCTCGACAGGTTTTGGCCTGAGCAGTGGGACAGGGCGGGTGCCGTGGACTGGGATGGGGCAGGATGGGGGGAGCAGGCGAGCAGGGCAGATCTGAGCCCTGTGGCCCTGTGAGGTGGAGAGGCACCCAACTGGACATGCCCAGGGAGGCTGGAGACCCGCATCTGAGTCCCGGAAGGCTCTGATTAGAGATGTTAATTTGTGGTCAATGTATAGATGGTAAAAGGCCCAGCCTGGCTGCAGTCACCTGGGGGAAAGGGCGTACAGAGAAAACGCCAAGGACCAACTCTCAGGACACTCCTGGGACAAGCCGTGGGGAGGGGAGAAGCCAGCAAAGGAGAGAGGGAAGGAGCACTGGGGAGAAGGAAAACCAGAGAGTTCACCAACTCAAAACTGGCCCCATGCTGTATGGCCCACTTAGGTGAAATATCCCAACAGGCAGACGCAGAGAGACAGGAGGTGGAGCAGTGGCAGCCAGGAGGAGCGAGAAATGGGGAGTTATGGCTCAAGGGGCACACAGTTTCTGTGTGAGGCGAGGAAAAAGTTACAGAAATAGAGGTAATGGTTACATACATGGTGAATATGATTAATGCCAATTAATTATACACTTAAAAATGGTTAAAACGGCAAGTGTTATGTTAGATATTTTACCACCATAAAAAACAAGAGAAACCTCTCCTTCAGGCAGGTGCTAAGGATACGTGGACACTGGCCCAGTTGCTTCTCCTAGGAGCTCTATCTGGCAGGGGAGGCACATCATTCATTCACTGGACACACACAGCCTCTGCCTTTGAGGGGCTGCTAGGCTCACCCGCCAAGGTGGGGTGAGGGTGCTGGGGTGAAAGACACTAACCCTGAGGGCACAGGGCAGAGAGCCACACACACTTGGGGTCCTGGACTATTAGTCACTTCTCAGAGGCGGTAAGGTTTGAGCTGCATCCACAAGGATGACTGGGGGGTCAGGTGGAGAGGGAGGGGCAGGGCCGTGAGAAAGGAGACCCACCCAAACCCTCAGGTGAACCAAATGGTGTACACGGGAGGCAGCTGGGGGTGGTGGGGCAGGAGGGAAGGTGGTTTTCAAGCAAGGCTGGGCTGGACACGATGAAGACTTCTGACATATAGGCTGGGTTAACAGGGAGACGTTCCCAGGGTCCCAGAAACACCACGGGAGGAACCACGAGGACAAATAACAGCGCCACCATTAACTGGGGCTCATGACGCGGTGGGCAGCTCCGACTTACAGATGAGGAAACGAGTCTCCCAGAGCTCGCATGTGGCAGCAGCAAGAGTGGAACCCGGAATACCAGGCCCTGAGCCCCCGATGGGGGGTACCCTTTCCCCACCACCCAGGCACTGCTGCAGGGGTGGGCTCCAGAGCTAGGGCTGCTGCCCTCCATCTCACAGGCCATCCACCTGCATGCTTTCCCTTGTGCCAAGTCAGTCCTCAAAGTGCAGGGCACAAAAGGCAAATGGCAAGGCCCCGGGGAGTCCCCAGCAGTGGTCACACATCTGTTAGAAGATCTCTAGACTCAGCCCCACTCAATCCTGACCCACTTCAGCTTACACACCTCCAGTGATGGGGAGCTCACTTCTCCGCAGGCTGCCTCATATCACATCCTTGCTGAATCATACTAATGATGCCAAACACTGGCAAGCACTTTACATGGATTAATTCACTGACCCTTTGAGGTGACAGCTACCATCATATCATTTCACAGATATCGAAACTAAGGCTCAGAGTGGCTAACTGACTTGTTTAAGGTCTTACAACCAGAAAGTGACCGCACCACGACATGCAGACGCTTCAGCAGTCACCAGCCTCCTCACTCACAGTCTGGTTGACAAACCTCTGGAGTGAACGAATGAACCACAGACACTAACAGATGCTTGTGGGTGAAGAAGTGATGGAAGGAATGTGTAGCAGGTGCTAATGGACGACAAGTGAGCATGACAATGGAGGCACTGAAAACTTGGGCAGGATGAATAGAGGGACAGAACCAAGAGGATGACACTAAGGGCTAATAAATTTTGCTGAATGGAATGTACCTTCGCTCTTTGAACCCAGAACCCATTACCAGCTGCCCAGGGACCCCTTTCAATACAAGGCTTGTGCCCTGGGGAACTCAGGGAGATGGGGCCCTCAAGATACACAGGGGAGCATCCCCTCAAAGTGGTAAGACGGAAGCATTTCCTGGGCAGTGGTGCCCGTGTCCTGGGCAGTGGATCAGCCTTCCAAGACACACACTCACACACACGCACGGTCCGAACAGGAAGAGGCTGCCCACCCATAAGCAGATCAGAAAGGTGCATGTTGTGCCAGTGGCCAGAGGCCAAGGGCAAACATGTGTGCAGCCAGTGCCATGGGCCCGTCTACTCCGCGGCGGAGGGCGAGCAGGGGACACGTTCAGGCTGGGCGCAGTCCACAAGCGCAGAGAAGACGCCGGGGGCCCCAGATCCCGCTCTGCACTGTCCCCACCTCCAAACCCTTGCTCAAGCTGTTCCTCCCATCCTGATGCCCTTCCCACTGCCAAGTCTGTCCATCCTTGGAGACCATGCAAATGCCCCCTTCTTCAGGAAGCATGTCAGATTCCACAGCTAGAACTACTCTTCCTTTGCCTGTGTCTCTGCTGTAGTGTTGAGCACAGTCTGCCCTGAGTCCCTGCTACTTTGGGTCTCTCTTTGGGACCAGGAACTCTAGGAGGACAGAGGACAGGGTTTACATTTTCTCTGTAAACATCAGACCCACCTAGCCATGTAGGAAGTTCAAGTCCACGCTCCTCATGCCCACAGTCCTCCAGCCACACAGGCATCAAGAGGTGGGAGGGAGAGTCCTTACCGAGCCCTAACCAAGCCAGGCCCAGGCCAGACGCTAGCATGAGCCTCACCTAGTCCTCCTGGCCCCACAGCCCAGCCAGCAGCATCACCCCAGGTGAGAGGGGAGAAAATGGAGGCTCAGAGAGGAGAGCCAACTTCTCAAGGTCACACAGCAAACAGACACCAAGCTGGAGTACACAGCCGGGCCTGTCGGACCCTAGTGTCTGTCCACTTGCCTCTGGATGCATCTAGATAATGTAAGCAACGGACATAACATGCTCACTGAGTCCCAGATGCCTTGCTCACTGCACACACACCACATAACCTCAGAACTACACCCAAACAGGGGATCGTTGCCCCCACTTGCAGATGAAGAAGTCCTCTGCCCAAGGCCACAGAGCTACTAAGGGGGTGGAGCCCCACTTTGGAGGCCAGGCCCCAAGTATACTATCCTGCTGCCCAACTTGCCTGACTCCCTCATTTACTGCGTCCCCGACATGGTCAAGGGCCCAGCCGGGCCACACATCCAGCTGAGCCATCTGGCTCCAGGCACGTCCCTAGGAAAAGCAGCCTCCAGGAGAGCCGGGGCACAAGCGGGACAGGACACCAGGACACGGAGCACGTGACACGGAGCACAGGGGTGTGCTGTGCTGAGAGCTCATATGCAAAGGGGCAGGCCCTTTAGCATGTGGCTGAAGAGTGGCATGGCTTGCACGGTACAGAGCAGAGAGCCGTGACGGTGGGCGGCAGGCAGGGGCTCTCGCTTACCCACGCACTTCCTGTGCGCGTTGAGGATAAAGCCCTCCGCACACAGCACTGTGTGGTTGACACAGTAGAAGGATCCCAGGGTGTTCACACAGAACTGCCGCCGGCTACAATCATGAGCACCAAGCAGGCACTCGTCTCGGTCTAGCGTCAGCCACAGAAGGAAAAACAGAAGGGCCGTTAGAGGGGTGTGGCCTGCCACGGAGCATCTAGTAACAGGTAGGGAAACTGAGGCCTGGAGAGGGGGAGGGCCCTGCCAGGGTCTCCCAGCCTATCAGTGGGAGAGCTGGACCTTGGACCAGTCTGAGTCTGTAGAGAGATCTCAGAGCTGCAACCCACTGCTCATACTGAGTAGGTGGTGAGGAGGGACTTAGAGAGGGTGGGCAACCTGCCCAAGTCCACACAACCAGACAGGACCAGAGGCAATCCCCCACCCAGTCTCTGGACACACCCCACCTCCAGGGGGAGCCTAAGGAACCATGAGTGGCAGGGGTTGCAAACTCAAGTGCTGCGGGGGCCAGGCTAGCAACAGAAAGGGGAGGAAGAGCTGCAGGGTCTGGGCTCTGTCCAAAGGAGGACTGGGACATGGGTCCCTATGGCCAGATTTTGTAAAGTTTCAAGAGAAATCCAGAATCTGGAATTGAAAAAAAAAAGTTACTGAACTTCTCACGGTTGGCAATGCATTTGAATATTTTAAATCAGGCAGAGGGAAGCAGGACTCCTTTGCGGGCCAGACTGTGGCCTCAGAATGCCAGTTTGCAGCCTCTGGCCTGGACACCACCTTTTTTTTCTTGCAAGGGTCCCCTCAAGGAGGAAATGGAGGCCTGGGGAAGCATGGGCCCAGACCAGCCACACAGTCAGCAGGAAAAGGGCTGTGCCAAGCCCAGGGCCCCACGCCTTGCCAAAGCCACACCCACTGAGGTCCACTGCTTGGCTAGGTCCGGAGAGAACTCGTAGCTTCAGGGCAACCTTCTGGTGGATAGGCCCTAGGAGATGGGGGACGAACCCCAGAGGGCACAGTGCAACCTGAGCCTAAGCTCTGTCCCCATGCCATTTGGGAGAAAGGGCAGCCAGGTCACCACCAGGCTGGGTGCCCCTGGGCAAGTTTCCCACCTCTGTGGCATGAGAGCGTTCATCCACATCAGAACACCAGCATCAGTCAAGAGGCTGACACAGGATGTTGGCTAATGGCAGGAGGTGGGCATCTTTCCAGACAGACTTGACCTATTTAGCCATGGATGCACACCAGGGTCATGTCTCCTGGGCTGACCTGAAGCCTTCCCTGGACCCCTCTGTGCCTGCTCGGCCCCCAGACATGAGGATGAAGTCCCTTAGGCTGGTCCTTGAGGTATTGTTCTCTGTGGGAACCAACCCCGCCGGGCGCGGGTATCAACCCAAGGACGCATCTTACAGCTGGGAGGTCCCAGCCCATGGGCCCCACCAAGACCAGACCAGACCCACTCTCCCAGCTCCTGGACAGGTCACCGGGTAGAAAGGATGTGCTTGTGGACCCTCCAGGGCCCGAGTGGCAGAGGCAGTTCATCGTCGCCAATTCCATCCTCCTCTTCCTCGTTTTAGTAAGGGACGAGCACTGTGGCATCCAGCTAGACACTCTTCTCCCCCAGCCTTCCTCCCACCCAATCAGGGGCAGGTGGAGGTGAGGAACGCCACTTCAGGTTCCTGCCCCTCAAACCACCAAGCTTCCCTCCTCTTTCCCCACCCACAGCTGGAACATGGACACGTGGTTGCAAACCACCTTTGACCACGCAGCTGGGGGTAACACTCGAGAACGGGGCTAGGCAGAGTGTGGACCGTGAACCCACAGCATCAGCATCACCTGGGATCTTGTCAGAGATGCAGATTCCTGGGCCCCACCCCCCAGACGTCCTGAATCAGAATTTCTGGGGGTGGGGCCCAGGAATCTGCATTTCTAACAAGGTCCCAGGTGACTCTTGACACCTGTGAAGTCTGAGACCACTGCTCTAGGAAATGGCAGCGCAACCAGGTGGAGGGAACCTAGATTCCAGACAGCCCCCCTGCACTGCCCACACATCTCTGCAAGGTCACCTGGGAGGGAAGTTACTGCCATCTTCTTTAAGCTGCTAGACTCGGGTTTCTCATCACAGAAGCCAAGCCTGTTCTCTAATACGGCCAGTGTTAGACCTCAGCCACCCTGTCCTCACTCAGCACCATTCCCCGCAAGGCCAACTCAGGCTCGCAGTCAGAGGGCGGCCCCAGGGCACTCACCTTCACAGGACACGCCATCGGCCATGAGGGAGTAGCCAGGAAAGCAGGAGCACACGGCTGTGTCCCCAATGATGCTGCACACCTGCTTGCAGGGCCCGTTGTCTGGAGGAAGCGGCACAGGAATCAGAGAGCTCCAGGCGGTGGCCTCGCCCCACGCTCCTCATCACCCCAGCTACAGTCATTAGCCCATGGGTCAGAGGCCGGCACAGAGGCCCAGTGAGGGGAGAGGCTCCCTTTGATGACATGCTGTGAAGCCCAGGGGCCAGGCCTCATCCAGGTCTGCGACAAGGTTCTTGACTCCTCCCGTAGGACCCCAGCACTCAGATCAAAACCTCTCCCTCGAGTTATAATGAGGACAGTGAGAAGGAAGAGAGAAGCCAGCGGAGGAGGAAGAGAAAGCAAGCAGAGATGAGGAGAAAGAAAGAGAGGAATGGAATGAGGGAGGAGAGCAACAAGAGAAGAGAACTTTCTATGCATCTCCCTCGGTTCCGCCAGCACGGCTTGTACTATCTCAGCCTTACAGCACCTGAGATGAGAAGCAGCGACTGGCTTGCTCAGGGGCTCGTGTACAGGAGGGAAAAGCACTGGACTAGAGCACAGGTCAGTCTGCACCAAGCCCTGCCACAGGTGGCTCCTCACCCAACCAGCCTCCAAAGGAGAAGCACCCCACTTTGGCAGGAAGCCATCTTGCACCCTCCCAGGCCCAAGAACTCCCACCTGCCAGCAGCCCAGACCCTCTATGTCCCAGGGCCCTACCCGGGAACACCGCCCCCCTCTGCTTACCTTTGCAGGTGTTGGGTTGTGGCAGGGGTAGTGGGATTGTGTTGGGGGCCACTGGGAGTGATTGTGGCCTCGCTGCAGACTCTGCCGCAGCCTCCGGCTTTGGGGGATCATGATCTGTGACAGGCAAAGCAGACACAGAAGAGCAGAGAAGCGGAGGTCTCGTCTCTTCATCAGACTCAGGCACTAACACGTGGAGCCCTGCTCATGCCCTGGGCACTCGACAGAGATCACTTCACTTAACCCTCCCCATTTTACTGAAGGAGAAACTGAGGTTCAGAGATGTGCCTCAGGCCGGGAACATCTCACAGCTATTTGGGGCTGAGTGGGAGGAGGCTTCCATAACAACAGACAGGAGGAGGCCACGAAGAAGGGGTGGGGGGGAAGGTTTCTAGACAGTTGGCAGGGAGAGAGCCCTTTGGGACCAGTGGCTGGGGCAGCCCTCTAGGCTCCTGCTGGTGCCGACCCCATGGGCCCAATGCTGGAGACACAGCCTGGGTTTGGCTCTGAGGGCCGCTAGGGTCCCATCCCTGAGCTTGAATCCAGGGCAGGGGCTGAGGCCTCTGTCTGCAGGGCCTCCCCCATCCTCACAGCCAGGGGTGCTGGCTCCTAAAATTTCACCGTGTGGGGTGGCAGGGGGTGAAGTACCCCGCAGTCCTCCTTCCTGTTTTGCCGTTGCTGTTTCTGTCCCAGGAACGCTGTGCTCCACTGGCAAGACCAGCACCCCCCCAGCCCTTGCCCCAGCTGCCCGGGCAGGCCTGTACCTGGACGGCAGGTGCGGCCATCACCCTGCAGCGAGAAGCCAGGGAAGCAGGCACAGAGGTAGGAGCCCACGGTGTTGATGCAGAGGTGCTGGCACAGCTCCCCCGGGAGGAGCAGGCACTCGTCCTGGTCGTCGCCCGGCAAGCTGTTGGGCAGCTCAGCCTCTGTGTCCAGCGACAGGGCCTCCCGGGCACCCACCTCTGCCTCTGAAACTGGGGCGGGGTCAGCACTCATGACGTAGGAACAGGTCAGAGTGAGCAGGTAGCCGACACCATGGCACCCGGAAATCAGTACAGGTCCTCATCAGAACCTTCTGTGTGCCCAGCAGAGACAGCATGGGTGAGGGTTAGTGGGATGCATGACGGATGGGTGGACAGATGGATGGACAGGGATAGATGGACAGATGGGTGGATGCGTGGATGGATGAGTGGGTGGGTAAATCGGTGGATGGGTGGGTGGATGGATGGACAGATGGAAAGATGGGTGGATGGGTAGGTGGATGGATGGATGGATGGATGGGTGGGTGGGTGGATGGATGGACAGATGGAAGGATGGGTGGGTGGATGGATGGACAGATGGAAAGATGGGTGGGTGGGTAGGTGGATGGATGGATGGGTGGGTGGGTAGGTGGATGGATGGATGGATGGGTGAATATACAAACAAATGAATAAGTGAACGAATGAGCAAACCTCCAGCAATAAGAGCAAACCCATCAGAGCCAGAGCCCAATCTTCATCATCTTGAACCCCCGGCAATGTTATGGGGCCAGGCCCACAACAACACTCAGGAAGCACCTGAGTGACAACAGAGAGGACCTCCCCTAACAGGAAGGGCCCCCCAAATCTGGATTCCAGTGGGTTGGGACTTGACCCTGACTCAGGCCTTCCCTTACTGTCCACCTGGGCAGCTCTTGGTCTTTGTGCCACTGTATTCTGGGGTGAATCCCACCTCCTGAGGCTGCAGTGAGGAGCAGGCAAGATAAGAAGAGAGGGCCGGAGACAGAGCCACTTTGGGAAGCTCTTCATATTACAGCCATGGGGTCAGGACTTTAGGGGAAGGCCCATGGCCTCTCCAAGGCTCTGCATCGGCCTGGTGCCTCAGCCCTTCCCACCAGACCCCTCAGCCGAGCCCTGATAAGCTGTTGCATGAAGTCACGTCTAAGGAACGTGTTTCATATTGAGGGTGTTTACGTTAAGCTCCAGCCCAATCAGCCCTGGCCTGGTGCCTGCAGGAGGGGCCGCAACAGCCAGCATTCACTCGTGCAGAGACCCAGCACCACAGGTGGGCAGCAGACAGATGTGGGCCCGGGGCTCCTTGGCCCAGCTGGGGGCTGGGCAGCATCTCCAGGATTCAGGCTTAGCTTATCCTCATGAGCACAATCCTCACAATGACCCAGCGAGGGGAAACTGAGGCTTGGAGGAGCAAAGTGATTTGCCCAAAGACGTCACTGTCTACATCCACTGAGGCCCAGGTCACCTACCAGGTCCTCACAGGAGGACACCAGCATGAGTCTCTGGCTCTGGACCCTGCCTCGCCCTGCCGATCACCTGCTTCCCCCCACCCCCACCCCCACCTTAAGAGTTTCCCCCTAACTTCATCTTGAACCAGACTCTTCTGGGTCCTCACCTGGCATTCACGCCAGTGCTCTACCAGTCCCTTTACAGCCAACCCCAGCAAGTGGCATTTCCCTGGACTAGACTTAGCCTCTGATCCTGTGTTAGCTGGGGGAGGCTGGCCAGTCCCTCTGTCTTGGTTAGTTCACCCTGATGGCCTGGTCCAACCTCCACAGGCCTGCTCCTGCCCCACCCTGCTGGGCCTACCACAACATTCAGGAAACTCTGTGCCCCAAGGAGTGAGCTTCTCTCCTAGGAGCCCCTCAACCCTGCAGCCTGTGGACGATCAGCATCTCACTCCCATGCACAGATTCCCAACATCTTGCATCATAGTGACAGAGATCTGGTAAGCAGTGGGGCTGGGATTGCTTTTAGGTCAGCCGGACTCCAGAGGCCACGACTTTAACCTCAGTACTAGGACTGCCTCTGTGGTTTTAATTCCCAACCTCGGAAGTGCCCAGGACATGCCCACAGGGGCCCCAGATGGTCTACAGGGCTGGAGAAAAGGCTGGTGGTTCCAGGACCTCCCTGGCCAGTCAAGGTTGAACATGTGGTCACTGCAGAGGAAGCCTGCCAGGACTTTCAAAGCACCCAGACCATGGCTGCAGGGCCCGCTGCAGCAAGGATGCCCACTGACTCGCTAGGACACCCTAGTCAGGCTCCCACAGGCCCCCTCCCCACCAGTGGAAAGAAGGCTAATGGCTACAAGCCCAGAAGACAGCCCTGGCTGTCTGGCTAGAGTGACAGAGGCTGGATATGACAGCTGGACAGCGACCACAAGCACAGGGAAGGTGGGGAGAGAGCAGACACCAGGGATGCTGACTCTAGGCCAGGTGCAAACATAGACTCCAGCTCACACGGGCACCCGGAGGCTCACTGGGGCTCTAGGCTCCCACACACACTGCCTAGAGCTGCTCAGGGACAGGCTCTGGTAGGGGCACAAGGGTGAAGGGCACAGGCCTGGTGGCCCTCAAAGGGCTCTAAGGGTGGCAAAGGGGCAGCCAACAAATAAACCCATTATTTGTTCATTTAATCATTTGTTAGTGCCTCTTCTGGGCCAAGCACAGGGCCCAGCACTGAGAATGCAGAGGTACAAGACAATTCTGGCCTGAAGGAACTGATCAGGCAAGTGGGGGAAATAATAGTGCATTCTCTGGGCCTGGTTATATATACTGGGGACACAGGAATGGATAGGTGAGAGGGATGGAGGAAGCAAGGGTAAGTGATGGAATGGGTGACTGAAAGGCTTGCTGGCTGGCTGGAGGGTAAATACATGAGCAGATACAGACGAAGGATGGATGGATGAATAGATGGATGGACGGATACATGAATGCATGGATGGATGGATGCATGGACAGGTGAATGAGTAGATGGGTGAGTGAGCTGATGCGTGGATGGGTGGGTGAGATAAAGAAATGAGGGGATGAGGGGATGAATGGGAAAGTGGGTGCATGAATGGGTAGGGGGACAGGTGGAAGATAGATGAGATGGACGGATGAGTAAAACGATGGATTGGTGAGTAGACGGATTGATGGGGAGGAAGACACGGACCTGTAGGTGGATGAATAAATGGGAAGGTAGGTAGTAGGTGGATGGATGGATTGATGGATGGATGGGTGGGCGTGTAGGTAGTTGTGTGGGTGGAGGAAAGGTAGATGAATAGATGGCTGAACGAGTGAGTGAACAGATGAGGGGATGGGGGATGAGTGGGGGAAGGTATATGGTTAAATGGACAGATAAACGGATGAGTAGGAAGATGTATGGGTGTGCAGTTAGACAAAGAGATGAGAGGGTGGCTGAGTGGATAGTGGAAAGTAGAAAGGTGATGGGTGGTAGGTAGGTAGTGGTTAGATGGGTGGATTGATGAATAGAAAATTGAATAAGATCACCATCTCAGAAGTTAACGGGACAGAATCCACAGTCAAAGGCCAAAGAAGAACCTCATCTAGAATAGCACTTGCATCTCAAGCGACAGATGACAGCGGAGCCAGGGCCCACAGAAGGCCAGAAGGCACCCAGCCTTGGCTGAAAGCCCCACAGTTCTGCCCCCCTCACCCAACTGCCCACACTCCCTGGCCCGGGGGGCAGCACCCACCTCTCTGTGGTATGGCTGCGGGCTCCGGAGGCCTGCGGACCTCCGGCACAATGAGGGGGTCTTCGCCCTCACAGCAGGAGAGCATGACATGGTTGCAGGGGTAGCCCAGGTTCGGGTTGGACTGGCACAACTGGCCCTCGCCCCGTACGCGGAGTCCCAAGCCACAGCAGTCACAGCATTGCTGGAGGGAGAGATTCAGCCATCACTGCCCACTCACCGCTCCCTGGTGTCTGGTCACACTGGACTTTCAGACTCTCCTATCTCCTCCATGGCCTGTGAGCCTGTGCGATCACTCAGGGTTCCCGGGTGCAGCCTAGGGCCAGGCTCAGGGGACGGGCTGGTAAGTGGGGTGGAATTAATCTGTGTCTTGTCTCTTCTGCCTTTTTTTCCACATCCCAGCTCCCAACCAGGTCTGAAACAGAACATGGCTAACACAAGTTTTTTTGAAATAATAAAGGGCCTCTTGTGGAAAACCTACAAATTACTCCTCAGCTATATCCATTATCTCCTCATCTTTATCACCTTTACCAGTTCTATCCAGGCCAGCTAAAAGATAGCATTTGCTGGTGTCCCTGGCAGTTAGATATGGAAGTCAATGGGTGGAGATTTCAGAAGAGCTTTTTAACTGGGGCTGACTCAACCTGTAGGTATATCCTTTCTGCTCTCCCATTCCTCAGGAACACCTATGTGATAGCTGGAGCTCCAGCAGCCATCGTGGGCCATGAAGTAACTTTGAAGATAGAAGCTACAAGCTAAACATGACTTAGAAGAAAATAAAAGAAGCCTGGGTCCCTGAAAATATCATTTATATCTATCCCACCCCAAATTTCCAAGTTCCAAAACTAAATCCTTTAATTTGTTTAAATTACTGTGGTAGATTGATTACAATTAACAGCCCAATTATTCACTATTCCCTGTGTCCACTGTCTTTGCAATTGATATTGTCATATGCACTGCTCCATCCTTAAAGCCTAAAACAGGGCCTGGCACACACTGGTACTCAATGAATATTTCTTGAATTAACTGATCAATAATTAACAACTGATGATGTTTTCTATGCAGATGATGAGTCCTCACCCCTACTGCCAGGTATGAATGTCACCCCAATAAGCAGCCCAAGCCTTCGGCACTCAAGGACCTTCAGGTCTAGCCCAGCCTTCCTCCCCCATCTCAGGCTATAAACGCCTGGGTCCAGCTTGCCTTATACAGGGAGATGCCACAGGTGTCATTGTCCTCGGCCCCACAGGCCTCACCCTCCTTGGCTGCCAGGACGCCAGCCATGCAGGTCTTCTCCTTCAAGTAGAAGATGCAGCAGTGCTTCTGAGCTATCCTGCAACAGAGGGCATGCTCAGCCCCACCCAAGGGCCCACCTGCACAGGGTACCAGCATTCCCCACAGTGAGCTGCTCCAGGGGGGCTATAGGCTCCACTGCACAGAGAGGAGGCTGAGGCTACAAGAAGGGACATCCCCTCCCCAAGGTCGCACAGCGAGTAGACACCAGTGCTGATAGCTGGGGCATTGGCAGAGGCTGGCAAACCCTGCCAAGCCAGGTGGGTTTCATGTCTTGACTCAGCAAAGAAGACTTAGGCCTGAGTCCCACCGGACACAGCACAGTGTGACCTTAATCAATGAGGAAGAGGGGTTGGCACAGAGTCCCCCACAGGACCAAGAACGACATGGAGAATCAACCCCAGGAAGGGCTGGAGCAGCATAACCTCTAGGGCCCTGGCCCCTGCCTCCTAATCCCTGGGGCAGAGGTGGCTCAGGAGCCAGAACCAGGACCCCAAGGCAGGAGAGGGTCCCAGGAGGCTGGTGTCAGCCCCATTGTGGAAGAGCACCTCCCATCAAGGGCTGTCCAGGGATAGAACCAGTGTCCGTGAAGGGGTGAGCTTCTCATCACAGGAGGGATGCAAGCATGCAACAGGGCTGCTGTTATGGGTTGAACTGTGCCCCTCCCAGCCAAAAAAAAGATGTGTTCAAGTTCTCAACCCTGGTACCTAGTTAACATGAGGTCATACTGGAGTAGGCTGGGCCCTGATCACTATGACTGATGTCCCTATAAAAAAGAAGAGACACAGAGATCGACAGACACACAGGAAGAACGCCACGTGACAACAGAAACAAAGATTGCAGTGATGCAGCCACAAGCCAGGAAATACCTGGGCCACCAAAAGCTGGGAGAGACAAGGAAGGATCTTCCCCCAGAGCTTCAGAGAGAATATGGCCCTGCTGCCACCCTAAATTTGAACTTCTGGCCTCCAGAACTGTGAGAGAATAAATTTCTCTTGTTTTAAGCCACCCAGCTTGTGGTATTTTGTTACGAGGAAACGAAGACAGCCGCTCAGCTCAAAACTCCAGGGGTTTGGATGGTGCATACTTTTATTACTGAGTAGCCTCAAATTAGTAGGCCAGCAGAAGGGAGAGGAAAGGGACAAGCTAGAATTAAAATTTTTTCTAAAGAAGGCAGGGTGGGCTGGACATTAGGAAACACGGTGTCTAATCCTGGCCATGCTGTCAATTAATTAGCTGTTTGCTTTGCGCGAATCATGTCACCTCTCTGAACTCCGTCTTCCTTGTCTGGTAAAATCCCTGGAGAAAAGAGCGTAAATGGCTGAAAAGCTCTCCTCTGGGAGCTGGCAGACAGAGGTCATGGGTATAAATGATAGCTTTGCTGACAACTCCAGACTCAGAGGGACAATCAGCACGGGCAGCAGAGCAGGGTCGGGAGAGGCCAGCCTTTGGGAGGTCCAGGGTAGCAACATGGGGAAAGAAAGCAGAGGACCTCTGGCTCAGAGCCAAAGAAAGACACAAGCATGGGCCAAGCACTGCACAGCAGGAACCACAGTGTGTGGTGGGAGAAGCACCTAGGTGTTCTAGGCAGGAACAGTCCTTTAAACCTTGCTCGCAACTCTACACCCCTTTGATAGTGCTCAGTAGGCCGGCTACTGACTCATGTGGTTTGTTGATTTTGGGGACCGGTCTTGGGCTATCCAGATGGCCCATAGCAGCCACATCCAAGTGCCCTTTTGCACCTGGAGGCACACAGAGCAGGGGCTGGAGTCCAAGGCCAGCAGGGATCTGGAGGGTCCCACCTACCTGCAGACATCATCCTCCGCACCACTCTCAGGGATGTCCATGCATTCGTCATTATCGATGCCCCACTGCTGCCCGGCTGCACAGCACGTTTCAATCAGGTCCTTGGTGGAGACTAGGGGTGGCAACACAGGACAGAGTCACCACCCTGAGCAGGCTATGGTTCCAAGGGATCTAGAGTCACTGAGAGCAGGAGATGCTGTGGGGGGCCATCCAGGTCCCCTTTACTGGACAGGGATTTACCCCATCCTCTCTCCCTCCCCACTGCCACGCACCTTGGCTGCTTACAGCTCGTAACTGTAGCCCTCTTTAGAAAACTGCCTGCGGGGTTCAGTCCTCCATGGGGGGTGGGCATGGGGCGAGTACAGCCAACAGCTGACTCCCATGGGGGTACAGGAGCCCAGACACTTGTCTCAAAGTGCCATCACACTCCAGAGCTCCCTGTGGGATCAGGCTGAGGCTGGACTGCAGCTGACCCGGCTTTGTCCAGCTCCTTCCCTGTCTCACCCTGACAGGGCTTCCCAAACAAACACACACACAAGAATCCCTGTCTCAGGCTCTTCTTCTAGGGAGCCTGGCCTGAAACACCAAGACAGGGCAAGAGATAAAAAAAACACAACAGTAACAATGAGGGAGGTTTAAAACTCACTAGGAAAGCTAATGGGAATGTATTTGTGACTAGGATGGATGGGGATGTCGGGGGTAGATAGATCTTCTTAAAACTCAAAGGCATAGACCATAGGTTAAAAAATAGATGAATTTGACTCCCTCAAAATTAAAATTTTCTGTATAGCAAAGAACTCCATGGACATGACTGCTAACAGATTAGGAGATACTTTTGGAAGGTCTAAAAACTGACAAGAAATTATTGCTGTTTAGAAAATATAATAAACTCCTGAAAATTAACAAGAAAAAGCGACATCCCAAAGTATAAGAGGCAAAGAATATGAATTGACAACGGACAGAAGAAATCCAAAAGGCATATAGAAAGGTACTGAAACTCATCTTTTCAGAAAAAAATTAAAACAAATTAAATTAAATACAAATTAGCACAGCAATAAAATATCACTTTACACCGATTAAACGGGAAAACATCAGAAGGCGGGATAAATGCCAAGCCGAGCTGGAACGCTGGGGCCCAGGGGTGAGAACAGAGACAGGAGCAGCCAGTATGGAGGGTGATCTGCCATCCCTTACACAGTCAAGCACATGCATGGTCGAGGACCCCGCAGGTCCGTCCTGGGTGCAGATCCCAGAGAAAGCCCCACCAGGCCCATGTGGTGAAAGGTAAAAGGGTGTCCATTTCCGTGTTATTTGTGGAGGAGGTCTGGAGGCAGCCTGGATGTCCATTACCAAGGGAGGGGGTGGGTAAGATTTGGGGATGCCCTCCATGGAGGGCTCTGCAGCTGTGAGAAACAGAAGACCAGATGTGCACCCAGCAACATGAAGCTGGACATGTGCACACAGCAAGGGGGGGCAACAAAGAGCATTGAGAAGAGAAGGAAACCCCATGAGATCCAGCACGCAAACTGAAAATAGCATGCACAGAAGAACAGTGCACCTTTTGCAAGAACACATAAGAACAAACAAAAATACAAATTAAACAGAAACTTGGTTCTGGCATGGGGGAAATAGGTATAGGAACAAGAATCCAGGAAGAGGAATAGGGGAAGGGGATAAAGGGAATAAAATGCATAAATAAAGCAAGAGGAAGCCTTGCAAAGACCATGATAAGGTGCCAGGGCATGAGGAGCATAATTAACTGAAACATTTGCCCCTGAAGTCTGGAAATGAATTACATTCATAAAGAACACATGAAGCTCCTCTAGAATACCTACATAAATGCTGAGGGCAGCAGGGTGTAGTGGGAACACTCTGGAGCCAGACAGACCTGCATCCACATCTCAGTGCAATCCTTCACAGCCATGTGAGCATGAGTGGGTCGTTTCTCCCTAAAGACTCAGTGTCCTTCCCGGTTATGAGGATTTAATGGCTACACAGGTGAGCAATCCAAGTGAGCAAGCCCTGAAGGGCTGAGGGAGAGATGTGCCAAGGGGTGTCAGGAGCCTGCAGGGCTCAGGGACAGAGTGAGAGCTACTAAATATCGTCAGCATCCTCTGCTCGTGGACTTGGCAAGTAGTTGAGCTTTTCTAAGTTTCAATCTCCCTTCTCTAAAGCAGGGAAAATAAGCTTCAGTAACAACCTGAGGGCTGTTCTGCGGCACCAGGAAGAATGAAAAGAATCCTTGACAACTGGTGTCTACCAGAAACAAGTAGCAAACATCACACTCAATTGTAAAGCATGAGACACATCCCCACTGAAGTCAGAAATATGACAAAAATTCCCACTGGCACTGCTGTTGTTTAGCCCCATCCTAGAGATACTAGCAAATGCAATAAAAGAAGAAAAAAGGAGGTAATAGAAATATTAGAAAAGAAGAAAGAACAGTCCTTATTTCAGGTGTTATGGCTTCATCCTCCTAGAAAATCTAAGGGAATCAAAATTAGCAAAGTATTGAAATTAATAATTAAATATGGTAGCCAAAAAGAAAATCAACATAATAAAATTAGCGGTTTTCCTATATATTGGCAACAATTAAACAGAAAAGATAGTAGAAAAAAACTCCTACTCAAAACAAAGAAGTGTAGAAATCTATATATAGTAAATGTGCCACATCTATATGAAGAAAAGTTTTTAATTTGTCTAATGGATATAAGGAGCCCTGGTGGCGCACTGGTTAAGAGCTCAGCTGCTAACCGAAAGGTCAGCAGTTCGAATCCACCAGCCACTCCTTGGAAACCCTATGGGGCAGTTCTACTCTGTCCTACAGAGTCGCTATGGGTTGGAATCAACTTGACAGCAACTGGTTTTCAGTGGATATAATGGCAGATTTGGTTAGAAATACATACCATGTATCTGGATGGGAATAGCCAATACCTTAAAGATGTTGATTCTATATCTAATCTACAACTTTAATGTAATCCCAATCAAAATCCCAACATGGTTTGTCACAAGATTTGACAAACTGATTCTAAAACTCATTTAGAAAAGAAAATGCTTAAGAGTGCCCAAGAAAATTTGCTTAAAAGAAGAACAAGGAAGGTGGGCCTTTATCTACTAGATATCAAACATATTATAAAGTTCTAAAAATTAAAACAACAAGACAAGGAGACCAATTGAACAGAACAGAGTTCAGAAACAGAACTATGTACGTATGGGAATTTAGTATATGATAACTCAAACTCAGTAGGGAAAGGATGGACTATTTAATACATGATACTGGGAAATTGGTTATTCATTTGGAAAAAAAAGATTCCTACCCTCCTACCATACACAAAAATAAATTCCAGATGGATTAAAGCTGAACCTTAAAAACAAATCTAATTTGGAAAAGGACAGCAAGAATGGTTGCACAACTTGAAGAATGTATCAATGTCACCGAACTGTACATGAAGAAATTGCTGAGGTGGTGTATGTTTTGTTATGTTTATTTTCACAGTTTTTTAAAAAAAAATCTATAAAGTTAGTATTAGAAGAAAATAACTTTATAAAGAGGGCCTTCTTCAGAAATAAAATCCTCAAGCATAGAGGGAAATCTTTATACAACTGACTATATAATAACATGAAATATCTGTATGGAAAGACACCACACCCAGCCATCAAAGCTAAAGTAGCCCTGCCCAGTTACTCTCTTATCACATCACTCACTTCTTAAAATCTCCTCATAGCACTTATCACTCTATGAAATTCTTCTGTATATTTATGGGTTTGCTTTTTCAGTTGTCTATTTCCTCCTTTGCAATGTGAGCTCCAAGAAGACAAGGGTCTCATCTATCAATCATTCATGGCCACCATGCCTGGCACACGTGGGCGTTCAGTGAGTGTTTGTTAAATGAATTACTGAGACACTGGGCAGCTGAGGACCACTGCACACAAGGGCAGGATCAGTACTCACCCTCTGAACATAACACAGCAGAGATGGACCTGGCCCGGGACTCGGGATCCCTGGAACCAGGCAGAGCCCAGCCTCCATTCACCTGGATGCCCACACAGCCAGGTTATGAGTCTCTGTGGTCACCGAGAGTGATGCCCCCAGGCCATGCTTAACTCTCCTCATGCTCTGTAATACTCCCAGTGATGGAGAGTTCACTCCACTTGGGCAGCCTGCCCATTCTTTGCACAGCTCACACTCAGAATGTTCCTTCTTTTACTGGACTGAACTCTGTTTTCCTAAGCCCTCTGCAAGACTGCCTTACAGAGATTTGGAGTTTGTGACAGATCTCTGGGTTTTAGCCAGAAGAAATGAGATGGGTGCCTATCGGGACAATAGGAACGGCTGAAATACACTGTGGGCCAGGTGCAGGTCCAAGACTTTAGTCCTTGTAAGTATAAATTATGAGTGAGTACTGTTACTATTCCTATTTCACAGATGAGGTAGGGGATTAGAATTCTAAACCTCAATTTCCTCTCTTCCCTTCCCCTCCCCAGGCTTCAGTTCCCCCTTGTCTGTAGCATGAGTGACTTGATGTAGCTGATCCTGAAGTCCTCTCCGTGACTCTAACCATCACCAGGCAGAGAGGTGGCCCAGCTTCCATATGGATTGAACAGTGTTCTCTTCCTGCCCTTCATGATCAGATGACAGTTTTCAGCCTACGCTTGGCAGACTTCCCACCATTCTCTCCTGCCCTTTTCTACCCCAGCTTCCCTCCTTTTCAAACAAAGCAATTCAGGGGCCACCCACTCAAAGCAGGATGAGGAATTTATGCTGGGGCCAAGTGTGGCATTGTTCAGCACTGTTCAAGATATGGTAGGTAGGGCCAAGCAAAGCCAACAAGATGTGTGCCCCCTTATCTCCTCATCCAGGGCCCCATCCCCTGTCCCACCCCCATCCTTCAAGCTCAGCTCAGATGCCCTCTCCTCCAAGCCGCCTTCCCTAACCACCCCTTGCTCTCCCAGCCTCTGTCTCTCTCTCTCTGGTTCTCTTTAAATTCCTGAGCACCAACCTTTACAAGTTCCAGCCCTGGGGTCTCTTCTCTTCTCCATCTACACCTTTGCCCTGGGTGATCTCATCCCAGGCCTGAGCTCCAAGTACAGACAGACCCCAACTTATGACGT